TAACACCTAACACCTCTAAAAGCATCCGATTTGGCAGAATTGAGATATGGTTATTATAGCAAATTGTTCACAGTAAATTAATAAATAATATATTGACTAAGATTAGCAGCAATAAATATATTTTGAATACAATACTATACAATAATACAATAGTATACTTTTGATTAATGCTATTAAATTATGAGATAAAAAATTTTAATAATAGTATAGAATTATATCTTTATTTTTTTATCTGAGCAAATTTTTTCACACTAATCATTAATCTTATAATATCTGTAAACATCTGCATGGTTGCATAAATCAAATATTAATAAATTTTTCTTTTTCAATATAATTTTATGTATAATTTATTATAACTATTCTACCCTCTAAAGCTATTCTAAAATATATCCCCAAACCCCAAACCTTTTACTTGCAGAGGGACTTAAAGCATTTATTCCTTTAATTCATTAGCCAGGATTTAAGGAAAGCACACACACCGCTCTGCGTGTTATTTCATTTAATTTTTTCATTACTCGCCCCGCGGCTGCCGCGCCAAACAAATGTTGCACGCCATGGCAGGCTCCCAGGGGCAAAGTATCGGGCGGAGTGGGACTTTAGGGAAGCATGGGGGGGCACGATGCGCGATACATGAATTCACGATACAATTAATGGCCGTCAGGAGGCACAACGTCTACGGGCCGCATTTGATTTGTATTTATATTGAGCAGGCGGGGCACGAAACAGATTTCCACCAAGGACCCACCGGGTCCGGGCGGCTGAAGTCGAACAAATATTTATAACCCAATCACTATATATACAAGTATAGGGGCAATCGTCTGCCAGTCTGTCACTCACATGAAGCCGGAGTGAAGTGGAAATGGCCGTGGCATTGACTGTGGCAGGAAAAGTCACGCCAGGACGGCTACCGGGTAAACTGGCGTAATTGAAAGCGACTTCCTTGCGAGTGCCTCTCAAGGGCATCCTCGCATCCGGCTGGCGCCAGTTTATTGAAATCGGTCTAGAGTCCGAGACCGATTATCTGATTGCTGGCCCTGATCCACTGGCCACTATTCACTCCAGCGTTTACGTTCAGTCTGGCCTGGCATGTAATTTGATTATATATGGTGTGTGGTCCAGTCGGTATGCAGGATGAGGCCTCCAGCCTTGCCGCAATGTTTGTCTAATTGACAGTAATTAAACGAATGCCCTCCCCTGATAAACTGAGTGTGAGCCCGAGTGGCAACAAATTTGCCACATCAGCCTGGATGTCATAGCCAAATTGATGGATGATGACTAGGGCGACCAGGGCGTGGAGCAACAGGACAACGGTTAAGTCATGCGTGCGGGCTTAGATTATTGGTGGTGCTGGTGTTGCCGACAGGACATGCAGCGTCACTCTCATATTAAATAAAAATCAACAAAAGTGTTGCACACTGACATGGTGATACTCATCCAGTTACAGTAGAGACTCCATCAGAAAAACGTCCTTCCAAGTGAACTACATTTGGAGGGAACACACTGTGGAGTACACTATACAGTCTATCAACCACATTTCGCTGTTCTCGGTAAATATTTTCACTTCAGCTAACTTGATTGTATAAATTCTATAATACTGCAAGCAAGTCCGAGATTTTCAAATGCCAATGTCAGTGCCAACAGCCAGTAGCAACGACAAAGCCACTACCATTGCCAGTGCCACTGCCAACGCCCCTGATGCGTATTTGGCCAAAAACTCGATTTTCGATTTGAATTCGTTTGCTTTTATGCTCTGACCTCGTCCTCGGCTAGTCCTCGTCCTCGTGCCCTTCGGAAGGCCTCAATTGTAGCAGCAGGAGGTATATTGTGCTGGCATTGCCGTGTGGCCAAGCCGATGTGTTTGGTAATGTGGCTGCTGCATTTGCAATTTCTAAATTCCCGGCGCCATGCAACGGCAGCAAAAATTACAGTGGCAACAAGATTGAATAGAACGCCCCAAACACAAAAACTAGCAGCCCCCAGGCCCACCTGTCCATCATTACCGCCGTCACTGTCCACGGGTTTCTGGCCAAGAGCTCCAACAACGCTGCCACCTACCACTTCAGCTGCTCCCACTGCATTTTGGCCCCGGGACTGGCCTGGCTATTTCGTTTTCAACTTTTACTATTTGGTATTTGGCTATGGATCTCCGCACTCAGTGTGTAGGTACTTTGCAAGTCTGTCGACCAGAAATGGCCAAAACCCGTATGAAAACTTTATCAGCTCGAGACGAAATAGTTAGGGAGAAAGTTTGGGAAATCCCATAAATGTTGGTCAAATGTTTTTAAATTTTCGAGAAAACTCAAGTAAGAAAATTGTACGGGTATCTGTGCCTTGGCGAAGATTATTCGAAAAGTTTTTAATTAGTTTTCGGTCGAACTTAAAGCCAACTTACCACTCACTGACCAGGTCCTTAAAGTTGGTTAAGCAAGCCCCTAATCGCATCTTATCAATCACCCCGACAGGTAGGCTCTCGAGTCTATAGTAATTAATATTTGATGCAGGAGCGACGATAAAGTCGCAGCCATTATGCAGGTGTGCTCGACATCAAAGTGGCCGCAAGCACAATACTTGGCCCATAAATAATCCGGTCGCAGCAAACAATACACAAAGCCAATTTGAAGCCTTTTTCGGCATGGCTGAAATTTGATTAAGTGAGTGCCACACCCGCCGGAGCCGCAAGAGGGGCGCAAATGGGGCCATCAATTCAAATCAGTCGGTCGGGCCACAATAAACAGGGCTTGCGGTCGAACCTGAGTGAGCGCTGCGAGACGCCCGCCATATTAGCAGGCATTTTTAACAATTCTCCCTAATGGCCGAGATCGCTTTTGGCCAAGGTGAGCTCGCAGACAGCCAGACCGGCAAACATGCCAACAAACACGCCGCAAGCAAATGAATGTTTGAAGCGGAATGGCGCCGTTTAATCAGGCAAAGTGATTTCGCCAGCCTGTGTGGGTCTGTGTGGGTGTGCGTACAATCAACTTATCATTTTGCATATGTGTGAGCCAGATAGAGCCGGAACCAAGAACAAGAAGAAGAAGCAGCCGGAGCAGGAGCAAAATCAAAATCTAAGGCTGGCGAGGAGGAGGCCCACGTAGACAGGAAGCCCATCCAGTGCCAGCTGATGTTAAGGTAGTTTAACCTTACGCAACGACCTAACTGTAAATCTACGTCCGCTGTCATGCAAAGTTCCTGCCGACTGCCGGAGTTGCACTGGAAAAAATATATTGAAAAGCTGCAGAATTAAAAAGAAATATTTGTGAGACAAACCTTCTCTAAAAAAAAAACCAATCATAAGTAATTATATTGTATTAAATTTCATCGAAAAATCTATAGCTTAGTTGTTAAGTAGTTTGTAAACAGTTCTTTGAGAAATTATCTTTTTAAAAATGTAGATTGCCTTAATGTAGACTTCTTTAGTTCCGAAAAGTTATACAAGCTAGATCTTATTTATGTAGTATCATAGTAATAATATTTTTCCAGACAGATTATTGTTTTTATGGAAAGTGGAAATAAAAAATTGAAAATTGCACCTTAAAATTTCAAGAAAATATCCAAATTAAACCCAAATATAAACTTTTTGATATGTTTTCTTATAAAAACTAAATATAATTTTTAGATAGTTTTTTCCGAGTGCAGTCCCGACATATATCGAGCCTTCATGTGCGTGTCTGGCTCGCGACTTTCCTTCTGCCTCTCTCCTATTTTTCCATTTTTTTTATTTTTTTGGTTCATTTTTCCCAAGAGGTGGAGGAAAATTTATTACCATTTTGCAGTTATAATGTTTCAATATTTCCAAGAGGGCACCGTACTAGGGCTGGCCCGTGTGCCCATTATCGCAATTTAAGCCCGATTGAGGCAGATATATATCCTTCGCCTAGCGGCTCCATAGATTTGCCAGACTACGTGATGTATGAACCGTAGCCTGGATCCAGAATGCATGCGAGCCTACCGGCTTTAAATGGAGAGCGACCATCGAACGGATAACTTCCAGGCGCTTTTTCAACCACCTGCGGTCAATAATTGCTCCTGACTTTAACTGGGGGATTTCTAACCGGTGGATAAGGCTTACTGGGGCGGACGGCAGGAGCACGCCTGGTTAAGCCAACTAATTGGCATGTGGCAAGTTTCTAATGAGTTGCCCCAACTTTCAGAGCCAGTTGGGGCAGTAAAAACAGCTGCGTCAGCCATGACTCGATGCTTAGCCCGGCCAAGACATCTGGTCGTAACTCATACAAATCAAATGAATGGCAAGCCCCGAGGATAATTCTTATTGATAGTGTTTCTTAGTTCTGTTTGAATCTTAATTTGCAACTGAAAAGCATAATATTTCATTTTCTAATTTACTTCTACTACCAATTACAGAAATTCCAGAAAAATATAAGTTTTGCCCAGCAAAAATGGTTAAAAGGGAAAAATTTTAAACTCATAGTCCTCGAAATAAACATTTTCAAATTAGGTAAAATATTCAACTTTTATAAATGTATTGTGAAAGTGGTTGCACTTTCAAATGGTAAACGATGAGCACGCACTCATCGAAAATGGATCCTGTTCTGAGATTTTTTTTTTGAAAATGTTGGCTGCAAGCCCCGCAAAATATTTTTATGCTTCATCAGGCCGAATAAAGCCAGTAGCTTTTGGTTTTTGGGGAGGGTCTTTTTTGTGGCGATGTGAGGTTTTCTGGGGGGAAAAGGATACTTTATCAGCTTGCACACAAGCACACATATCCTGCTGCAGCCGGTACATCAATTCCCTGCCCCAGAGTGCCTCGCATTTCCAATTTAAGCGCGCCCTGTGACTATGAAAATTGTATTAATTTTTCCAATAAAAAGGACCTGGAAAATTGTAAAAATAATTCCATGAGAGAGGTCAGCGTAAATAAAATTCCCATGCTTATTTAATTTTTGGCTGTTTATAGCGTCGCCTGGCTCATTTAGAATGCAAATTTGTCCGCACGCTAGAGTCGTGGTTGGACTCCCGCCTCTCGAGTAAACAACGCCAACTTTTGGGAGCTGCAATTTATTTAAATAAATAATAAATATATTGTATGCACTATATATACACATCATTAGATCCTCTCAAAACACGGTTGTAGGTAGCTAACAGCATAAACTAGTCATTTACTTTCATAGGTGGATTATTTTTGCGTCGCATCGAATTCCGCTTGCCGTCATAAGTGTCTGTGGGAGTATGTCTAAGTTGGTTCGAGCCTGGCCTCAACCTTGTCCTGGGAACGTCCTCCGCATTCCATGTCCGTGTCCGCATTCGCATCCGCAGTGTGGTGTCCTGGCGTCCTTGTCGTGACTTAATCTCCTCCGCCGCCGCCACCGCCGCCGCACACTTGAGCACGTTTTCCCAGGCGCGGCTTGAACGGCACCGATTTCTTTATCATGCGCGACATGAACTGCCCGCCAGTGGCCTCCTCGCTGCCCGCCAGAGCCACGCCCACTTCCAAGCCCCTAGAGCTGCGACCGCCGTCGCCGCCGTCCAGTAGCTGCTGAAAGTCAATGCTGCGGCCAAGGCGTGGCGTGCGCACGCGATAAGCGGGCTCGCCGCTGCTCTGCACTTTAAACAAAAAATGCCAGAAAAGGATAAAGGGTAAACTACAATTTGACCAAAATTAAGCTCACAAAATGATACTTTTCTGAGATCTTATCTTTGTCTGACTCTCATATGGATACATATCTTTTCAAAAAGACGAGCCGTTTGTATAATATTTTTCTATCTGCATAATATAGTAAAAAGCTTATGGAAACAGTAAGCCCCAGTAATGGAGATGGTTGCGTGAACGTGATTTGGAATCCAATTAGAAGAGCTCAAGCCTCGAATCGTCTTATTTTCCACACATTTCGTCACGCAACCATCTCCACGCGGCATAACGTATACGCAGTGTGAGCCTGCGAAGCAGTGTAGGATGAAGGACTTACGCTGGCGCAGCTTTTGCAGCAGAAGGTAGTAGGTCAACGGCGGCATGCTCTCCAAGTCGAATTCCTGGCCCTGCGGCGGCACGGCGTTCAGTGGCAGAGTGGCACTCGCCTTTTGGGCCAAACTGTTCTCCTCCAGCTCGTCAATGATGTCAGTCAGCTCCTTGTACTCGCCCATGGCGCGCTTATGCCGAGCCTCGTTCATTGATGTCCTTGCTGCTGCTGCTGATGCGGATGCTGATGCTGGTCCTGTTCCTGGTCCTGATGATCCTCTGCCAGAGGTAGCGCTGATGTGATTTGCCAAATCCAGTTTGCTCGTGCCCTGCCAAAATAAAGTGCCACAAAGCAGGGCACACGAAAAAATGAAAAAGAAAATATTTGAAATATTTCCTTGGAGACTGTTTTTTTAGGGGGCCCTGGCTGGAGAGGCTGCCAAACTGTCGACACGTGTTAAGTTATTTTTATGCCGCCTATTTATGCTCATACTCGTACGTGCCCCGCACACACACAGCCATCTTACCACACCGTGTAGGTGGGTGATTCTGCGACTGTGTGGGTGTTTGGTGTGTGCGAATGTGCGAGTCAAGCACTTTATTGTTTCAATTTACAACCCGGCAGGCAGCGAGTGTGCCGCTTGATTAGACAACTCAATGTAGATTGAAATGCCGACACCTGAAATCGGCTTGTGAATCGCACTTCGCCCATAAACGCTCCTCTTCGCCGAGGGCGTCACTTGCCCTTTCCCAACCTGGCATTAAACCCCAATTTTGGCAAACCATTTTATGTTGCGTATACGGCCCGAGGGGCCCTAACTTGCGTTCGTTAATCAAATGCGAATCGATATCCGGCTGCAGCTTAATTGGTAGCATACTTGAAAAATGCTACTGACAGCCAGGAAATGAAGGCAACCGCAAGGTGCAGAACTCCAAGAACTGCGTCTTTCGCAACGGATTCGGGTGTGAATCCTGAACTTGAAATCTAGGAACGTAAAACTGCCAAACAACTTAGGAGCCAGCAGCTTGAGCAAATTATCGTACCTGGCTAACGAATGAACTTGCGCTTGGGCAAATAGCACTAATTAAGTGGCGCTTGTTCGGCTCGTTTCACCTCGTTACCCGCACTCCGCCTCCACTCACCTGCAGGGACTTGGCCTGGCTGCAAACAAGGACGTAGAAGGACGCCGCGATTAGCAGCAGTGTGCAATAACTCGGACGACACATAACTCGATTGGTTGGCTTGCCCGGGGCGGTTTCTGTGCTCCGCTAAGGACACTCGGGGACGCGGTGCTGCCTAATGACTCTCTGCCGGACACTTTGCCGGCCAACTGATGCCAGCAGTCCGGCGATCCTGAATTTTTATAGCCCAGACTCGGCCGGACACCCCGCAGTCCATAGAAGCCTGATTAGCTCCGCGAATGACAGGCGCTAAGTGATTTGTTATGCACTCTAATCTGCATCGACTGCCCGCTGGTCGAGGCATCGAGGCATCAAGCGGCAAATCCAAACCGGAAGCGCCACCAATTTGTTGCAATCAGAGCGATGGTAAACAGGGCACAGTCCATGGGAGGGACTTTTTCGATTGGGGGTCTAATTGAGGGTCGAAAATCAAAGTGTTTATAGGGCAATCAATATAGTTGGGCTTAAAACACTAAGGAAAATGAGTTGAATACTTGTTTTGTATTATAATTTTAGAAGGTGGATATCTTAGAGTTTCTAGGGATTCTTACCTAATGGTTATCATAAAAAAAAAGGATAGGTTCTTCCTAGGTACTCTTTTTACGACCAAATTGTATTCATTAGCTTGAAAAGAGTCCCTTAACTTGTAAGTAACATTTCGATCAAGTATTAGGAATTGGGAAATAAGTATTATTTCCCTGTGTATTAGGAACGCAATGGGATTGGAGCAAATCAGAGCGTGTGAAACGCCACGCCTCAGCACTCAGAGGGCGTGGGCATTAGTGACAACACCCACGCCGAAGCCAATGTCAATGCCGGTGCCGCCGCCAATCGATCAATCTTATTTAAATGTTGACAGTTGTCTGCGCAATGTATCTCAGCTTGAGGCCTGCCGAAGCTTGTTGGGGAAAGGATGCTTCGGTGGCTTGGGTGACTTGGATGTCCCTGCTGCCGTTGTTGGCTTATTTAAATGCCATTTCTGAGCCGCATTAGGTTCAATTTGTTGGGTAAACATCTGCCACACCTGGACCGAAAGACCTGGGAATCCAGGCCCCCGGGACACTGGGTTCGGGCCTGTCAGCAAGCATTTTAAATCCGATTCCAGAAGCTCCGATTGTCGATTGTCACATCAGAATAACGGGTCAGCAAGGTGACAGCCCAGTGAAATTATTTACACTATGTGGGAAATATAATCCCAAACCCTTTGCCGCCTTTCAATAGCGTCACAATGCTGCAAATCACTAGCATTTTCAATTAACTAAACTCGGACATCAGCCATCCATCAATCCGCTGCCTTTTCCTGGTCTCGCCCTTGCAACCGGTGCAGCTGGGGCAGCAACTGCAAATCTGCTGGTTGAGTGTTTATTTGTGCCACTAATTTACACAAACATGACCCGGACACGTCGACCCAGAGCTGAACCCGACAACGGTGACCTGACGACCCCCAGATGGCTCTTATTTATTTAGTAACTCAATGTGGGGCAACCTCTTGTCCTGGCCCTGCCTGGATTCAGAAGGATTTATCTGTTTGCCAGAGTGCTGAAAATGGAGCCTTAAAAGTATATCCTTGAACGAAAAAAAATAAACAGCAATAAAGTAACAAACAATTTATTTGCAGCCAAAAATGGGAGAAAAATGTTGTGGTGATTAGTTTAGATTGTATGACCTTCATCCGTTGCGAAATAATTGTGAAATATTGTAACAAATTTCAGCAAAACCTGAAACAGAAACACAAACTGAACTGAACTTGGCTCAGCCCTTTTAATTGTCAATTTACGTCAAAAACAGTACAAATGGAATTAATTTGACTGCAAAAGCTGCCCTTGCATTCCTAAAAGTTTCATTTTGTTTCCATGAAACCAAAAGTTCCGGCAATCGAATAACCTATGACCTCAAATGCAGATGCTTTGCTTGATATTTCTCTGTCAATTATTGGTAAGTCAGTAATCTGCACTTATCTTGTCGGTTATCAGTTTGCCGGGAGGAAGCTCTGGCCAAGGACATCCAGTAAGTTGTTTGCCATCGAAGCTGCAGCGGTTCAATTATTTGCTCTTGTGCGTTTTATCAGCCCGCTAATGCTTCTCCGAAGTTAAGCCTTCAAGTGGCGCGCATCTAATGCCCTTAACGCCCACTGGTGTCCTGTGTCCCTGTGGCACGGCTCGTCCTGGCGAAGGGATTTAATTGAATTAGTCGTGTACAGTACGCGAGGCGCTTTGAAGTTTGCACTTTGCGCCTCCTTGCGCCACCCACTCCGCGACGCCTGACAGCCACGACCCCGTATCCCAGGTTCCAGGACTCTCTGTTGACCCACGAAGCTGCCTCTGTTGACGTTTGCGCTTAAGCGGAACTCGAGTGCCGGAAGGGCAGCGGCTTTATAAAGTTTCCGGCTCAGGATCTGGCTCCGGCCCGGGCAAGAGCCCATAATTAAGCTATATGGTGAGTGTTGGGACCAAAGACTTTGCCAGTCGAGCGACCAATAAATAATGAAATTTATAAAGCCACAGAACAAAGCAAAATGAGACTGGGGAGCGCGGCTATGATGTGGTTTTTATCCTTCGAAAATCCGAGTATTAAAACATTTAGTTGCCAATCTTGGCAGATACTATCCTCTGGTCGGTCGCCGAGTAAACAAACCGACAGCCGAAGGACAACGCAAGGAGCTGTAACTGTCATGTAATCGACTCGCCAAGGCTGCGATTGTCTCTGTCTTCTGTCCATATATATCCTTTACAAATATTAAAATCAAAACGGTGAAGGATGTTCAAAGAAAGAGAAACAGGAAAATCCAATTCGTTATACGACCTGGATAACGACTTGTAGCCAACGATTTATGTGACTCTCAAGGACTGCACTTCCTTTCGATGCGCCACTGATTTTTCTGAGAGGAATTTAGCCAAGAATAGGGGATTTGGCTGTTCAGATAGTACAGCCACAGCGAGTCTGACTCGGAAAAACTTGCCACTCTCGGAGCTTCAATAATCTGGCTTTAATCTCTGTTTTAAAGCAACAACATTGTGTCTATATGCAATTCCCCACAAGTGTCAGCACTTGACAGTCGCTGGGGATGAGAGCATGGCATATATATGCACATATACTCGTATAGTACGAATGCAGATGCGTGGAAGTGCTCCCTCGCAAATGCATTGCATGCCGTGTGCTCACACTGCGTATACGCAATTTATTTCTGTTATTTTAATGTTCCAGAGGAAAGTTGATAGACCGAAGGACGACCGGGACTGGCAGACTGGCGGACTGGCGGACTGGTGGACTAGTGGACTGGCGGACAGTCGGACATACCGGATCTGACAGCTGACAGTCTCCGAGTGAAGATAGGGGGTTGGAGCTTTTGTGTAGCTGTGCACAAATTGCCGGGCAAATCAATATGCCAGCCAATGGGTTTTATGGCTCCTGAATTTTGTATGTGCGCTCACATAAAAACTCCCCCGGGCGTCGCTAGCACTCGTTTCGCCAATTTCATGCAATTTCACAGCCTTCACACTCCTTCGATTATTTCATAAATTATTTATTTATTCATTTGCAGCTGCCGACTGTCGCCGACTGTTGCGCTCGCTCGAGTGCCGAAAACTGCTGGATTCCAATCGAAATCGAACCGGGTGCTGGCTTCTCACCCTTTGCCACAGAGGCTCTGAAATGAAGCGGAGCTCTGGGAGGGAACTCCGACTTGCCGACTTGAAGAGTGAGAGCAACAGGAAGAAGAACCAATATGACGACGAACTTTGGCCGACTGGTTGTTTGCATTGCAGATTGCAATTACTGGAGTTTTAAATTTCACGGAGCCAAAGGTAAAGCCCAACTGCTGCGAGGACGAGACGTCATCATTATGGACCCGACTTTAATGAGCTGCCCTTCAAGAGGGACGCGCCGTGTGAAGTGACCATGAAATTGAAAGACATGTCGGGGGCCACAGTCTCTGAGCTTCTTGGCACAACAATGACATTGCCCCTGGCTCTGGCAGGCACACCAGCAACATCGGCATCCACCAGCAGCAGGCTGGGCAAATCGATAGCGGCACTTGCCACAGGTAGTGCCGCAGCCCTAAATGCCACCGTTGCAACAACAGCAGCGACAACAACCAGAGCCGCCACCACTAATGGCAACCCACTGCTGGCAGCAGCAACATCAACATTAGCCACCACCCTGCCACCTGCAACGGCAACGACAGCGACAACAGCTGCAGTTGCAACATCGAGTTTGCCTACAACACTGCAATTTTTAGATGCCTCGTTGACTTCGCTATCGTTAACAGCCACATCATCGGCGTCGTCCACGTCCTTTGCGTCCTCCGAGAGTCCGTTTGATTTTCTTGCCACAAACACAACAGCACAAGCCATTGCCAACGACAACACTAGCCACATTCTCGAAGAGGGGCTCGATCTGGACGAGGAAAGCTGGCTGGATGTATCCCTGCTGGTGCTCAAAGGATTCATCTTCTCGTCAATCATCCTGGCGGCTGTCCTGGGCAACGCACTGGTCATCATATCTGTGCAGAGAAATCGCAAGTTGCGGTAAGTATCTGAGAACACCTGCTTACACCTTGTGAACCTGGTGAGTCAACCGAACCGCCTGAATTTAATTGACGGGCATTGCCAGTGGCAAGGACAATGCAGGTAACCGGCTGCGAGAGTCCTTTGTGCCAGCGTAATAAATGTAATTTAAATGAGCGACAAGTGGAATAATAAAGCACAAAACGAAGTTAAATGCGACACACAAGCCCATCGCTGCCATGACAGTGGCGCGATGACAGGACGCCCCAGAGTGCACTGCAAATAAGTGTAGCATAGCATTCAGGGCAGGGCTCGAATCCGTCCCTTGCCACGCCCCTAGCCCTCTTTCCCCCGTTAATGTTGCTCAACGTATATGCGTGCAGCAGCAGAGCACATCGCGGATGTTGATTAAAGAGTTTATTATGACATTATACTAAAAACCTTAAAGTGCTCAGCTTACCGTTTACAACATTATTACAGGACATAACCGGCTTGGCATACAGGGATCTCTTTAGGATTCTAATAAAAGATTAAAAATATCTGAAGCTTAAAGGAGGTAACAAAACAAGGAGATTACGAAGAGAGAGTTTTTTAAATATTAACTGGAGCTTAGGGTTGCTTTTTTATAAAAGATATTTTCTTTCAGACTTAAAGAGATGCATTTAATTCAGGTACTGAAATGGACTGAAACATGGTCAAGATAGAAATAAAATAAATAATCATAAAATACCTTAGCACATTGCCGGGACGACTGGTTAGCTGTGGATGACAGGTGAGAGTTGAAAGGTGGCTCGCCAGTCGAATGGCTTATGACAGGCGTGGAAATTGCAGCATACAGGTGAACTGTTGGCCTCGGAAGACCGGAAATGGAAATGCAATGCTATGCTAGCTGCCAGGATATAGTGGGGTTAAAAAGGATACACACACAACAGGACTGGGATCATCTACATATGATTCATATTTCGCTTGTCATTCATTTGGAAAGGTTACGGTCCGGTTCAAGGGGACGGGGTCCGGACTCCGGAACAGTGCCATCCACACGGAATACGCAACCAAATACCAAACCGGGGATACTAACAAATTCTGGGACTATTGTTTCGTTCACAGGGTGATAACCAATTACTTTGTCGTCTCGTTGGCCATGGCCGACATGCTGGTGGCCCTCTGCGCGATGACATTCAACGCCTCCGTGGAGTTGTCCGGCGGAAAGTGGATGTTCGGCCCGTTCATGTGCAACGTGTACAACAGTTTGGATGTTTACTTTTCCACGGCGAGCATCCTGCACCTCTGCTGCATTTCGGTCGACAGGTGGGTACATAAAACTGGTTTCTTTATTAAACGCCAGCGATTTAAATCCCAATAGTTTAAGAGCTCTCCCTCAAATTCCCCAAACACAAATCATTAATCTTGCCCAGATGCCCGGCGCTCAAATCCAAATCACTTTCAATACCAACAGAAGAAACAATTAATTACTGTGAAAGGCTCGCGCACATCAAAAGCAAACATTAGGCGGGGCCCGTATGATAAATGCGGCCCAAATGATTTGCAGCCGGCCAAGGCGTGGGCATTTCGAATATACGTAGTACGTACCCCTCCCCCGCCTATTAAATCCCCCAGCAATCCCGAAAAGCTGTTAATTGGCGCCCTACCCGACTGGAAGCTCCAGCAGCTGCTGCTCCTCTTTAGAGCTGACCAAAAACAATGGGCCAACACCGTCCGAGGATATTGGCCAATGGACAGTGGCGTGGGTCCTTTGTCTGTTTTAATTAATTCGAGTTTCGCTCACCTTTCGATGGCCGACAAAACACGGCGCAAACAAAAGAAGGCACCTACATGAGTTCAAAAAGAACGAGAAGCTCGGACAAAGTTTGCGATTTCGTTACCGACATTGGCACACCATTTGGCTAATTTAGAGCAGCCGTGAAATCGAAATTCAGAAATTTATGATGTAAATCTAGCTACCTCATTAGTAGATAGCTCATATAGATTATACAGATAGATCATATATGTATATCATGGGGGTATTAGCTCCTTCAAATTCTAATAAAAACAAAGTTTTCGCTTTAAATTTTTAACGATTGGAAAATGTCCTGCAACCAAATTAAACTCAAAAGCATCCACCGAATGGGTTTGTTTCTAAACCAAAAAACAATACAAATAATCGAATGAAATTTGGTTTAATTTTGTAGTTTCAAAATAATTGCAAACAAGCAATCGAATAAAATGCAATCAGTTTTAATTTGGAAGCAAACAATAGTCCAAAATGGTTGGTAATGAGCTCCCGATTATTTTATGTAGCCACTCCTGACTGAGTGTACTCGCAGTTTTTGATTATTCTGCCAGCCAAAGGACGATAATCAATTATATTGTGGGCCAGAAAAAAACAAGAAACTACGACAGGACTGAAAAGCACCTGCCACCAGAACTGTCCGCAATCCATTTCCATTAATAAAACTTCGACAACACCCTCTTTTGTCTTCCATCTCTTCCGGATCCGACCGTTTAACAGATACTATGCCATTGTGCGTCCCCTGGAGTATCCATTGAACATGACGCACAAAACAGTGTGCTTCATGCTGGCCAACGTCTGGATCCTGCCCGCCCTCATCTCGTTCACGCCCATCTTCCTGGGCTGGTACACCACCGAGGAGCACCTGCGGGAGGTGTCCCTGCACCCCGACCAGTGCTCCTTTGTGGTCAACAAGGCCTACGCCCTCATCTCCAGCTCTGTGAGCTTCTGGATACCCGGCATCGTGATGCTCGTGATGTACTGGCGCATTTTCAAGTGAGTGAGCGCTGTTTCGGGTTTGGTTATTGCCAAGTTAATTGCTGTTCGATTCTCTCCGTTTGTGGTTTTCCAGGGAGGCGGTACGCCAACGGAAGGCCCTCAGCCGCACCAGCTCCAACATCCTTCTGAACAGCGTCCACATGGGCCACACCCAGCAGCCGACCAACCTGAGCTATCTGCATCCCAGCGACTGCGATTTGAATGCGGCGTCCACGCGGGAGGAGACGCACAGCGCCCTTAGCAACCTGGAGGTGAGTTTGATGAAGGAAGTTGGTATCCTTTTGGATACAGCGAGTATTGCTAGAGTTTCATTTAAAAATTGAAAGAGATGGGTTCTAAATTCAGGCTCCACCGCCAGGCAGCATCAAAGCCCTACTTTACAGTGAATAGATGTCCCGGGTCGATGAGATTAAAGGCCCGAGGGCTGAGCACTGCAACTAGTGCATTTCCTTTGTAAAGCTGCGTAATTGATGCATCCAAACAATTTCTTTCTCCCCTTCCCGGCTCACAGGACATGTTGCAACCAGCCACGGACGAGGACGACGACAGGGACGAGTGCGATGAACTGCGGGTGCCGTCGCCACCGCCGAGGCGCCTCAGCCGTAGCAGCATCGATCTGCGGGACCTGGAGCAGGAGCGCTACGAGAAGGTCACCCACACCGACAGTGCCCCTTCAATGATGGCACTGCAGCAGCAGCAGCCGGGGCACACGCACAACCAGTTGCAGCCGCCAGCGCCAGTGTTCAACCCTCAGATTTGGACAGAGTCCATTCCGGGTGGCAAAACAGTTCCCCCATCAACCACTGAGTCGGATAAGAAGCCACATCCGGGGGCGCCCCAACAGCAACACAGCCTAACAAGCGGCAGTGGCAACAGCGAGCCGGAGCCAGAGTCCACGGCATACCGGGTGTTTGGCCTGAACAGTGACGAGAGCGAAGGCAACGACGTCTACGACACCCACCTGCCTCTGGCCGAGGACAACAAGGAGCTGAAGCGCCTGATCGAGGATAATTACCTCTACTTCAAGCGCCAAACGGGGGGAACTATTCTGAGTGGTCCGGGAGGTGGCAAGTACGCTGCCCTGAGCGAAACGGACTTCATACGCTTAAAGGCAGGTGCAGCGGCCTGCGGGCGGAAGGCCTTCGCCTCCAGTGACTCGGAGTTCCTGAAGACCATAAGCGAGTCCCGGGCCACAACAGGACAACAAGAACTGCCAGTGGGAAAGAGCGAAAAGGGCTTCAATATCCTCTCTCTGCTGACGAAAACCAAGCGCACCAGTTCCGAGTGCTTTGCTCTGGAACGCAAGCGCCAGCAGACCAACTCCGAGGGGTCCAGCTTCTTCCGGCGGGCCCGCAACCGGAAGCTGTCGCACAGCTACAACGGGTGCGGGGGCGGTGGAAAGGAACGCAAACTTGAGCGACGCCATCGGCAGCACAGCGACACGGATTCCACACCGAACAAGCCGGACATCCTGTTGGACATCAATGTCCTGAGCGAGCAGAGCGTCGGGGGCGGCAGCGTGATCCAGCAGTTCAGCGATGGCGTTCAACTGATCGATTTCAGCGACATTACTGCACCCCATCCGGTGTCTACCGGGGACGACGAGCTTGCCCAACTGGCGGACTGTTTCGGCGAGTCCCCGCAGCAGCCAGCCACCCCGCCGCCGTCTCTTTCGCCGCCGGAGCTGCCAGAGCCAAATGGCCTGCTTATTGCAAGCAGCTCGGAACTGGCGGAGATCTTTCGGTCGCTAAGCTTCCCGCTGGGACGACCAGCCGGGGCCCCCCAGCGGCTAAGCACGCTGAGCGACCAGGTGTGCCCCAACTATCTGATGTCCCCACCGAACACGCCAGCCCCAGCCCTGCCGCCCGCGAATTCGCCCTGCAGTGCCATGGGAATGGACTCATCTAATGCTCAGTCGGCGTCCATCAATGTGTACTTCCTGTCGCCGCCACCGCATGCCGCTGGTCCGGGCTACACGCCCAGTGACACCTCCACCGTGTCCCTGGATGTGGTCACCACGCTGCCGGTGCCCCAGCCCCCGAGTCCCCAGGTGCCGCAGCAGCTGCAGCTGCCCCTGAATATATCACCCAAACCGGAGATCATACTCGATTCCACGCTGTCACCCATGGAAACGGGCAGCGACAAGGACGTCACGTCGCCGCTGTTCAAGCGCAAAGATAGCGCCGGTGAAGCGGACGTGAGCGTTTCCGGCGGAGGTGGAGGCCTCCACGGAGGCGGAGGAGGTGGCAAGCAGCGCTGCAGCATCCTGACCGGCTACGATGGCATCCAAACTGTACGCAAACGACAGGCCTCCGTGGTGACCTACGACGTGAATGTCATCAACTTTTCGCAGGAGAACAGCGATAGTCGCAGCTATATCCCCATGGGTCGCGTGTCCACCAGTTCAGCAAGTGAGTACTCCTGTTTTAAAAATCTGATAGAATAACGGGCGGAATTCAGGCTTTTAAAATAAATGTTTGCTAGTTCTTAAATTCTCTTAGGAAAAATTCATTGACTATTTAAATTTCAATGAAATAGATAAAACACTAAATAAATAAAACATCCTAAATAATAAACAAACTACAAAGTTACTACTAATATCAGTTTTACATTTTACATATATTCTCCAAGGGAAATTAACAACCGTGTTTAGCTAAAAACTTAAGAAAATAATTATTTTATTTTGTCCAATAATAAATGTAACGAGATTCTGTTTTTACTTTTGCATTTTATAAAAGGACAGCAATTTACTATAACGATTATTTACTCTAATAAAAAGTAAACTAATTTGGATAGTCCAGGGAAATTACGATTTTTGAAATTCAATGTGTAAAAGGGGAAATAAGCTCTTTGTTTTTATATTTTCGAATTTTACTATTGGGGTAGAGTTGGTTACTTACCAAAAATATGAATCAAAAAATAAAACAGAAATTAAACATATTTGAAGCCTAGAACAAAGTTTTGGAGATGTAAAAATGTATACATTCCGTGACTATCCATAGCTATCCGAATCGATAGAAATCCTAGTTGCCTAGCTTTAGAATAGTGCAAGCTTCCAGTTTAGTTGCACCTGCAAACGACGAAGACCCGAAGGGACCGCCAAGAGCTTGTGTGTAATAAAATGGTCAGAGAACCGACCGATTCCTTGCCCAATCACGTCCATATCCTCCTGTCCCGATCCCTTTGCGTTTGCCGGTGCATGGCACGTGCATGAGATCCAAAGATCCTGTCCTGTCTGTGAGAATCGTGTGTACATTGTCTACTACTCGTCTCTATCTGTCTGTCTCTCTCTTTTCTCCAAATCTCTATCTATATCTTCTTGTGTGTTGTACGTGTATATATGTAAAATCTAAATCACCAAATTATGTCCAACCAATCCAATACTTCTACTCCAAAAAAACAAACCAAAATCCAAAATAAACACCAAAAAATAAAACAAATCCAACCGTGGCAGAGCCCGAGTTTTCCAATAAATCCTCGCTGATCCGACGCGGCGGCATCTGCATCTTTGTGGATGAGGAGGAGGCGGAGATCATTGAGCAACGGCCGCGAGGCATCACCTTCGCCCCGGTGCCCAGTCCGCTGCCCAAGTGCCCGCTCTGCGGCGCCGACATCAGCACCACCACCGTCAATGCGAACGCCGGCACCACAACCAACGGCACCACTGACACCACCGCCACCGGCACAGCCACCACCGCCACTGCAAGTAGTAAACGTAGTAGTCACGCGCCAGATCCAGCTCCAGATCTTGGCCAGGGGTCCACTCCTAGCTTCTGGCACAAACGTACAGCGGCGGTCACGGCATGTTGGCAGCAGAGCAAGAACCGGAAGCGCCGCTTCAAGACCGGATGCAGTCACTGCGGTGCAACCGGTGAGTCTTGTCGTATCCCCCATCCTTTTCCTCTCGCTTTCTCTCTTGCTCTCTCTACCCTGTTGCCTGTCTCAGCTTCAGCACTTGCCTCATGCCTCATGTCTCACGCCTCTGGATCCTTTTTACGAATAGTTTCCGTGTCAATCATGTCCATCTGTATTATACTTCCATTACGGTCTTACATTTACATTATTTCTCATTCAATAAAAATCATTTTTTCACGTTCTATATTTCAAATACTCCAACTATTCATATGAAAACAAATTCATTTTACTTTGTATATTTTTTATTTTGAATATCACTCCAATTCCAAGTATTCACATCGAAGCCGACCTTTATTATTATTCTAGTAGCTCCTATGAACCATATAATTTACTCGCACACTTTCTGAAATAACACTTGAAAAGCTTCATTATCCGACAACTTCAATATTCTTTTCGGCACTATAACTCTTATCAAAATTATTTATTTCCGAAAGGAAGATTCTCTTACCCAATAAACTCAAAACTTTAAAATAATCTTTTATAAACTTAATTCAGCGTACATAATTTATGGGTTGCTTAAATCCAACTAAAAGCTTAGATGCTTAAACAAATTTAAGCCCAAAGTCAAATCAAAAAGGCACAACATTTTCAAAGAGCCCACTCGATCCAAACTCACTGGCACCAATCCCAACAGAAACACCAGTTTTTGACACCTACCCATCTGAATACCTTGCTAACCAGCTTAGTCAACTAAATCCGGTGGGAGGGTCATTCGTACCGCCCACTTAAACACTAGCCCACCTGACCGTTTGCTCATTTGCCGCCTGCCTCATGCCACCTGCCCCATGCTTCCCCCACCCGCTCGGTGCTCCCATGCTATACATAATTGCTTCCGTTTGCACGTGCGTTTGCTTTGCTTTATTGCTCACCCACCTTGCCATTCGTTTTTGCATTATGATTTCACTGGCTCCTGCCCTTGGACACCTCCATCTGGCAGATCCGTCAGCGGATAATGGCCAACGTTTTGAGGGGCGGGGCCAAAGTTGTCCGCCGTTTCCTGTTGCTTCTGTTGCTCCTGTGCCGACTGTCTGCCGGTCCGTCTGTCTGATTTGTTTTTCTTTCGTCCTTCACTCGACTACCATCTTGCACATTTTCCCGTGATGTTTATGTTTATGTTTGTGGGGGTGGTCGTGCGGGGACTGTATGTCTTTGTGATAACAAGTGTCCTGTGTAAATATTTTCAATTGTTTGCCTCGTTTTTATTACTTTTCCCGCACCCACTCCTCGCCACTCAAAGGAACACACACAAGTACACAAATCCATACGAGCACACATGTTGGCCCTTCCAGCGGTTTAATGACAGTTTCTTGGCAGGAATACGGGGCTGGGGCGGGCTCAGCATGCCGTCGATACTCGTACAACAGCAATAGCATTACTAATGTCAAAGTTAAACATGCTAGGACACAGCTCGTCACACACACGGCGTATACGCAACATGCTCGGCATTCTCCTTATCTCACAAGAAGACGCACACAAACGCTCTTTTTGCATTTTCAACCTAGAAAATAGTTCTATTGACACTCAGAAAAATAACGGTAATACATGTATTAGCTAAAACTAAATTTAAAAATTATAAACTAAAATTTCTTTCAATATATTTTTGATTAAAGAGTTTCCCAAAGGGGCTTTTTTGTTTTGTGCTCAACGTTTACCCTTTTTTCGAATGGCTTTTTCTTAGCATTTCTAATACATACATTTTTATTGGTATACTTATTTTTCTGAGTGTAACACTGAACTGAACCAGAAACCTGTCAATTGCAATGGTTTAGCCCGCAAAAAGAACTTGATTCTGGTCAAAGGCCCGAAGACTGGATTGCAGCGAGGCGAACCGAATCGAATTGAACTTAATCAGCCAATTGCCTTCTTTCATTTCTGTCCCTAAACTCTTTATCCAACCCCACAGGCGGCTCCGTCCGACCGGCGAAAGGATGGAAGGCCGAGCACAAGGCCGCCCGCACCCTGGGCATCATCATGGGCGTCTTTCTGCTCTGCTGGCTGCCCTTCTTCCTGTGGTGAGTGGCGGTAGTCCGTAATCCGTAAACCGAAAACCGTAATCTGTAATCGGCAGGCCTACAATATTTTTCACCAAGCTCATCCTCGTGACAATCTCGTTTTTTGTTTTTCCCATCCGGCAGGTATGTCATCACTTCGCTGTGCGGACCTGCCTGCCCCTGCCCCGATGTTCTGGTGGTGGTGCTCTTCTGGATCGGCTACTTCAACTCCACCCTGAATCCGCTTATCTATGCCTACTTTAATCGGGATTTTCGCGAGGCGTTCCGCAACACCCTGGAGTGTGTGCTGCCCTGTCTGGAGAAACGCAATCCCTACAACGCCTACTACGTCTAGACCGGACTCCGGATGTGGAACAATGCCCCCACAAGTGATATTTAATACTTGAGTGAATCGATATACCAAATCACAAATAGAACAAAACATAATGAAAACAATGAAAGGGAAAAACAAGATAAGTTCATGCAGGCATCTAGCTAGCAAAATCCTTCGAGCTAAGCAATACTCAGTGTGTGTTTATGTATACGTGTAACTTTTCATTTAAGCAACGATAGGGAATTTAAACTAAAGTGGTGTTCTGAGCCCCAAAAAAAAGAGGATATTGGAACAATAAAACACTGCTCCGGATCTATACTATTCAATATATAAGTGTTGTTTGTCCAATTAAACAGTCGATATACGTAAAAATATACATATGAAAAAAGTAAACCCCAATTAAAAAACAACATATTTCATATTCAAGAAACTGGTCAAAAGAATTGTAAGATAAATGAAAACTTTCCTCGGCAAGTAGAAGGTTAATCGCTTTTTCCATAACCTGGTAAAAATCCGGCAGAAACCACTATAGCATTAAGTATCATACATATGTAATCTAGCGAATATATTAGAAAACCAAATCTACAAGATCGTGTTGAGATTAAAAATTTTAAAAGTTACGCAATCGAAATTATGTAACCATTAAAGTAAAAAAGAAAAACGGTGTGGCGATGAATTGTGAGTAGGGACATTAGAAATTTTCAAGCAGAATGACAATCTACAAATGTGCAAACAAGGATGAACTTCGAAACAACCAAAAATTGGCAAGCTGTAGAAAATTTCGCCATTCGCTGCAAAATCGATTCAGTTATTTCAACTTAGTTTTACTCCATTTTACCCTTCGCCCTTCACCCTCTCTCCTGAGTTGCGACGACTTTTGTGATAGTAAAGGAAATTGATTGTATTTCTAGTTGAATTGGTTTGCCTCGAGTAGGTGCATCTTGTCTAAGTGTCTGTACGATAAATGTGTACGTGTGTATACGTAATGTTAAGCTAAGGCCATGTATCGCTATGTATTTCAATGTACTTGCTGAACTAAAACTACTGTATATTAAAGTGTAAAACTAAAGTGTTTTAAAACAGTTGAAAATGTGTTGTTTTATTCTAGCACCGCAATGTAGGTGTTCAAATTTTTGTTGGATCATTTAATTAAACGTCTTTAGCTGCATATTTATCAAACTACACTAGACGTCAATAATATCGCTATAAGGAACAACAAACTAAAAATAAAAATAAGTTTTGCATAATAATCAAGTCAAGTTTTTGATTCCATTAAGGGGACCCCCCCCCATTCACGGTTTCAAAAAATCGATTTAAAAATCGAAGATATAGCCGATTTACGGTGGTAGCCTCAGGCGACGGCGAGAGCCGTTTCAAAACTTTAAACGCGCTTTTCTCGAAACAGTGTTTTTACGACTGGCGCATGAAGTTACTCAAAAACTATTAATCCAATCGGTTACAAATTTTAACACGTTATTCTATACATATATAGCTCTGGTATGAACTAGGATAAATCCAATCGGTGAAGATTTGAAGCTTTTCAGCTTGATTTGTGGCTAAAATAATTTAAACAATTTTTTTGATTGCAAAAAACAACAAAATAAAAAATAAAATTTTGTAAAATGGTTTTCTTCCTTTTTATTTGTTAATATATGTATGCACAGTTACAACCCTAAAAAATAATTCATGTTCATTTGCCAGCCCATTGAAAATCGTCAAAATTTAAAATCGCGAATATGTAAAACGTTTATTGAAAAACCCTTGGGATTTGGGAAACTTTATTTTCTTTTTTTTTTTAATATAAGAGCTCTTTATTGCCTTAAAAATAAAATAAGAAACATTTAATGACAAGAATAATATATGAAACATTCGATACATTTTCTGTATTTTTAGAGGACTCACTTTAATGACCCTGAAAGAATGACACTGACCCTTGAGTCCAGAAAACATAAAATCATATGAAGATCTCTGTATCTAAGTATATTTATTGCCTCATATACCCCCAACTCAAGAATATATATACTTTATAGAGTCGGAGATGGCTGCTTCACTGCGTTGCACACTTTTGGACAAAATTATGATACCCTTTGCAAGGGTATAATCTACCCGAAGTTACCTTTCCTTTCTTGTTAAAATAAAACTCATAATGATCACGAACCATGCGGGATATTTTTTGTTTTGGGATATTTTCATTTTTATTTTTGGGGGACGCAGTGTTTTTCTTACATTTACTTTGACAAAACTTTTTTTTTTATTTAAAAATACAAAAATGCGTTATTTTTATAAAGGTTACCTGACCTTAAATTTCCCTCTATTTTAATAAGTCTTTATTTTCCAAGTATGGTAACACCATACGATTGGTTTGCCTAGGTGGCAACGTTATAACACAGTATCGATACATCGCTTTGAAAAGATAGTTTTATTAGCTTCTCTAATTTTGCGCGTCTTAGTGGAACATTTGTGAAAAAACATAAATTTCCCGCTCTAATTGTCAATTTGTTAATAGTTTATTGTAAAAAACCACGAAAATGGCCGACGATGACGACGATATTAACCAAAGAGTGCCACTACCGCCTGTGCACAAACCGGACGACGATATTGCCTTCCTGCAGTTCATTGAGATGGAGAACTTCAAGTCCTACCGTGGTCACATAGTCGTTGGTCCGCTCAAGCAATTTAACGCTGTTATTGGGCCCAATGGATCCGGCAAGTCCAACTTCATGGACGCCATCAGCTTTGTGATGGGTGAAAAGACGAGCAGTTTGCGAGTGAAGCGGCTAAATGATCTGATCCACGGTTCGTCTATTGGAAAACCAGTGTCCCGAAGTTGCTATGTGACTGCCAAGTTCATACTGAATCAAGAGAAGCACATGGACTTCCAAAGAGCAGTTATCAGTGGCTCCTCGGAGTATCGGATAAACGGAGAAGTATGTTCCAGATTTTAAGCATTCTTCCCAGAAGGCTCATACTCTTTCCTTTTCAGAGCGTTTCGAGTAGCACCTACTTAAACAAGCTGGAGAAGATTGGCATCAACGTAAAGGCAAAAAACTTTCTCGTGTTCCAGGGAGCTGTCGAAAACATAGCCATGAAAACGCCGAAGGAAAGAACAGCTTTGTTTGAGGAAATAAGCGGGTATGTTTTTTCGTCTTAAGTGTCTTAAAAACCAAATTACTTTGCTTTTTTTTAGGTCTGGTCTACTCAAAGATGCCTATAATCGCTTGAAACAGGATATGATTGTGGCGGAGGAGGAGACTCAGTTCACCTACCAAAAAAAGAAGGGAATAGCAGCTGAACGAAAGGAGGCCAAACATGAGAAAATGGAAGCCGAGCGCTATACTCGCCTGCAAAACGAATACGTTAGTTATTTCTTTAAATATACAAGGTAATTTTTAAATCCTTTTCTTTCTGACAGAATGAAAAACAAGTGGAATACCAGTTGTTTCGCCTCTTTCACGTGGAGAGAGACATCCAAAAGTACATTACTGATTTGGAAGTCAAACAGCAGGATGTGAAGGCTGTCGAGCAGCGCAAGGAAGCTGCCGATGAAGTCCTACGAGAGAAGAAAAAGGACGCCGGAAAGATAACTCGTGACTTGGCTAAGATCGAGCAGGAGATTCGCGAGTTCGAAACCCAGATGAATAAACGGAGACCCCTTTATATTAAAGCGAAGGAGAAGGTTACGCATTGCAAAAAGAAGCTGGCTTCGTTGCAAAAAACCCTCGAAACAGCCCGGGAGGCGGACAACGCCCACCAGCAGGACATCAGAAAGCTGGAGAAGCAGTTGGCCGATGTGGAAGCGCTAAAGAAACGATTTGAGGACGAGATCGAGAATGAATCGCATCGCCGTGGCAAGAGTGTCAATATGGAGGAGGGTCTGGTACAGGAATACGACAGATTGAAGCAGGAGGCGGAAGCCACTGCCACCCAGTACCGGTCTGAGCTGGATTCGGTGAACCGTGAACAAAAATCCGAGCAGGACACACTTGATGGAGAGACCAATCGGCGAGCTTCCGTCGAGGAGTCGTTTAAGAAGCTTACTCTGCAGCGTGAAGAGGCTGTTAAGCGTCGGGACAAGCTAATGGATCACATAAAATCCTCCCAGGCAGCACTCGAAGAGCAAAATCGCATCAAAGATGAACTGCGGCGTGACGTGGGCAGCTCCAAAGAAAAGATCGCTGAAAAGCAGCGAGAATTGGAAAACGTCCGCGATCAGTTGGGTGACGCCAAGAGTGATAAGCATGAGGATGCACGTCGCAAAAAAAAGCAGGAAGTCGTAGAGCTGTTCAAGAAACAGGTCCCTGGAGTGTACGACCGTATGATCAATATGTGTCAGCCTACTCACAAGAGGTACAATGTGGCAGTTACCAAAGTGCTGGGCAAGTTTATGGAGGCCATTATCGTGGATACCGAGAAGACTGCGCGCCACTGCATTCAGGTTGGTTTTTCAAATATTTTTCTATATTTCCTCCTGCTTAATGGAAATATTTACTCTACAGATCCTAAAGGAACAAATGTTGGAAGTGGAAACCTTTCTTCCACTGGACTATCTGCAGGTGAAGCCCCTAAAAGAGCGATTGCGCAACATTAGCGATCCACGAAACGTGCGATTGGTCTTCGATGTTCTTAAATTCGAGCCCCCGGAGATCGAGCGGGCCGTGCTCTTTGCCACGGGTAATGCTCTTGTTTGCGAAACCCCAGAAGATGCCATGAAGGTAGCCTACGAAATCGATCGCTCGCGGTTTGATGCTTTGGCCCTGGACGGAACTTTTTACCAGAAGTCTGGCCTCATCTCCGGCGGCAGTCACGACTTGGCCCGAAAGGCCAAACGTTGGGACGAAAAGCACATGGCGCAGCTAAAGATGCAAAAAGAGCGTCTCAACGAGGAGCTAAAGGAGCTGGTCAAAAAGTCACGCAAGCAGAGCGAACTGGCCACGGTGGAGTCGCAGATTAAGGGCCTGGAAAACCGTCTTAAGTACAGCATGGTCGATTTGGAGTCCTCTAAGAAGTCAATTAGTCAATACGACAATCAATTGAGCCAAGTTCAAATGCAGCTGGATGATTTTGGGGTAAGCTTGTGCCACATACCTTTGAATTATAGATAACATTCACTATTTTACAATAATCTGTAGCCCAAGATCAACGAAATTGAGCGACGAATGCAGAACCGCGAGGAGCATATACAGGAAATCAAGGAGAACATGAACAATGTGGAGGATAAAGTGTTCGCTGCTTTCTGCCGTCGATTGGGTGTCAAGAACATCCGCCAGTACGAGGAGCGGGAGTTGGTTATGCAACAAGAACGGGCACGCAAGCGAGCAGAGTTTGAGCAGCAGATAGATTCCATTAACTCGCAGCTGGACTTCGAGAAACAAAAGGACACGCGAAGTAAGTCACTTTATTTGCGCAAAGTAAACAACTCTAACGACTTTCCCCACAGAGAACGTTGAGCGTTGGGAACGAAGCGTGCAGGACGAAGAGGACGCTTTAGAGGGCCTGAAGACTGCTGAGGCGCGTTACCTTAAGGAAATAGACGAGGATAAGGAGAAGATGGAGAAGTTCAAGCAGGAGAAACAGGCGAAGAAACAAGCTGTTGACGACATGGAGGAGGACATCTCAAAGGCACGCCGGGATGTGGCTAACCTGGCCAAGGAGATGCACAATGTGGGCAGCCACGTGTCATCAGTAGAATCCAAGATTGAGGCAAAGAAAAACGAGCGTCAGAACATACTGCTGCAGGCCAAGGTAAGGCTTGTTCTTTTATTTTAATTCCTGATCAAGAAGAACTTTTCTTCTTGCAGACCGATTGCATAGTGGTACCTTTGTTACGTGGCTCGCTGGACGACGCTGTGCGACAAACGGAAGATCCCTCCACATCGACGGCTCTGGAAAATCTGTAAGTATAAGTAAATACTCGAGAACATTCTCAAGATCTTGAAAAAAACTAAAAAAAAAATATATATTGCTAGCATTGAGGTTGACTACCGATCACTTCCACGAGAATATACCAAGCTAAAGGATGACTCCTCCTTTAAAAAGACCCACGAGCAGATTCAAAAAGACCTGCAAAGCAAATTGGATGTCTTGGAGCGCATACAGACACCTAATATGAAGGCCATGCAGAAATTGGATGCCGTGACGGAGAAGGTGCAGTCCACCAACGAGGAATTCGAAAATGCACGGAAAAAGGCAAAGAAGGCAAAAGCTGCTTTCGAGAGGGTCAAGAACGAACGTTCCTCTCGTTTTGTTGCCTGCTGTCAGCACATCTCCGATGCCATTGATGGTATTTACAAAAGATTGGCTCGCAACGAAGCGGCTCAGGCCTACATCGGCCCCGACAATCCAGAGGAACCCTATCTGGACGGCATTAACTACAATTGTGTGGCTCCCGGCAAAAGATTCCAGCCTATGAGCAACTTGAGTGGTGGTGAAAAAACGATAGCTGCCTTGGCCCTGTTGTTTTCCACCCATAGGTATGGCGATATTTAGATTTAGGTAAATTGTATTATCTGATCATTGACTTCTTAACTTCTATAGCTATCAACCTGCACCGTTCTTTGTGCTGGACGAGATTGATGCCGCTTTGGACAACACAAACATCGGCAAGGTCGCGTCGTATATTCGTGATCATACCACTAACCTGCAGACCATTGTCATATCCCTGAAGGAGGAATTCTATGGCCACGCGGATGCACTCGTGGGCATTACTCCCGGGGTTCGTATTGGAGTTCGTTTCAAGTTGGCAAACACGTAATATTCTTTTGTTTTTTCTGCAGGAAGGCGATTGTCTCGTATCAAATGTTTATATAATCGATCTAACTATGTTCGAGGACAAGTAGAGAACATATTTTTAAATAAAATTAAGGATTTAGATTTAAGATTCAATTTATGTCAATATTTCAAATTCCAGCCAAACAATTATTTACCTCCTCATTTTGTAAAATAATATCTCTTCGTTGGATTCTCATTACCATACTTTCCACGTCTTGAATTCTTCCCAACAAATAAAAGTCGGTTTTATTGAAAATAGTTTCTGCATCTTTAATAGTTTCCTTTATTTAGGCTTGCGTTGGTTTTTCTGTACTGAGGGGAGTTTATGGGAGAATTCAATAAATAAATGTTGGCGTTGATGGCGTATCGGTAATGGTATATGTAAAACAACAGGTTTATGCTTTTAGTTTTTCTCATTTTTTCTTCACGTAAAAAACTATTTGTATTTCAAGAACAAAAACAAACAATTTGATTATTCAGTTTTAAAATTAATAAATAATCATTGCAAACAGATGAATACATTATCGGCTAGTTAGTGTGTCGGTACCAATGATACATCTCATGGACTAGATGCTTATTTATGCTACAATACATACAGGGAGAATTAAGGTAATTGTGTTGAGTAAAATAATACAACTGAATAGAGGAATCTGAGTTGGAGAAGCGTTACTTTTAGAGGCAGTTGGAGTTCGATTCGATAATAGGGAATGCCTAATGTAAACTTTATACATACAAAATAAAATATTTATGGCGTTTCATATATACACACACTTTGTAACCATGTTTTAAATACAAAGATTTGTCTTATTAGCGCTTAAATATTAATTTGTTTTGCTATTGTTTTCATGTTCGGGTTCGGGTTGGTGTTCTGAGAAGGCTGGGGGCTTAAGCCAGTCCGGGCCTCGTTGATGTGCCTTTCGAGGGGGTGAATGATCTTGTATTGGAGTCCGTGTTAAATCCTTGTGCTCTGACGTCTGTCTGTTGTCTGTGGCTGTTGTATGTGCAGTATTTGTGTTTCGTTCTCTGGCTTTCACTAGCGACCTATATTATCTGTTTGTGTAATTATTGTTTTTGCTTTTCTTTTGTTTATAGTTATTGGCTGAATTTCAGCTTTTCAATGGGCCTTTATTACTGAAAAATAAGATAGCAACATTTTATAATTAATAAGTGCTTTGGATGGTGCAAGGATCTTAGTATAAGGTGGCCATATCCATTTCCCTTCATCGCTTTAACCCATTTAGTTTTGCATTAAAAAAAATATTATTCATAATCCGCTTTTCGCAAGAAACGAGTTTCGGGCGCGAGTTAATAGACTTCCCCACCTGCGATTTCGTGACTTGGGCCTGGGTAAGGTACAGGATGGATACTCAGGGTTATCGAAAAAAAAACCTACAAATGCCTCATTACGATGAATTATCACAACTTACACCACATCAGACATTCGTAGGTTTGAACGAAGGTGAGATTCTCAAAATAAATACTTACATTGAAACATATTTAAGGCTATCACAGTGTATCTTATACTCCATTGCCGTTGTTAGAGGTATATTTAATATCCTGCGTAACGTATCTCGGATACGTGTTGTACTGGTCATATCAGTGGCAGTCCGATTCCATACTGATAAGCTATCCTCCTGTGGGCGAGTTAGATTGTGAGTGAAGTGCAAAGATTGTAAAATTATAGAACCATGCCAGATACCAGATACACGAAGCCCGTCTTGTAACACCCGAATAAATAAACGATCTGCATTTTTTTTGTTTAATAATTTTTATTTTTCAATCAATATTTAAGGAAATCATTTCACGTTCGACCAATTGGAAATGAAAAAATAATAATAATCATGGTAATAAGAAACACACTTGATTTTAACACAAAGGCAAATCTAAGTTCTTAATTTAAGTTTCTTAGGTTTTCTTGTTTCGATTTTGTTCTTGCTGGTTTTAATTATATTTTCAGTTTTTCTTTTAATTTGCTTTGCACGTTTCTTCGTCGGCTGCTTCTTATCCGTGATTTTCATTAGCTGAATTCATTTTCAATCGTTTTTATTTTTTATTTATATATATAAGACTAACACTTAAGTATAATGTTTGTTTTACTTTTCATAATTAACTAAATTTTCTAAGGAGAGAAAAAATATATGAAATATGCAATTTGTTTTTGTTACGGATTTTTGTTAGCTTTAATTTTTGTTTGTTTTTCCTTTTGGTTTTTTTTATTATATTATTTAAACATTTTTAACAATTATGAGTATTAGCTCAAAAACTTGACATGAACCTCTTCTTCCCGCCATTGGCAAGGGTTCTTTCGTGTTGTTTGTTGAATTTTGATTTCCTTCTAAGCTGGGTCTTACTGTGGTGTTTGTGGTGTGCACACAAAACTAAATCGCATTCGCCACTCAACATTGTCTTATAAATGGGCTCGTTATATGCATCGACTTGTTATATACTGTTATAATCGGTTTACATATGTAGGTGTGTATATATAGGTGTAGCATTATTCTGTGTGGCTGTGTCAGTGTCTGGGTTTGTTTTAAACGCTTGTTAAATTGCACATTGATATTTTAATATTTTGTAAATATTAAACTTTTACTTCGTTTGGTTTACTTTCTTGCTAATTTATTTGGACTATCTTCTGTATATATATATATATATAGGTTTGTATGTATGTATAATTATATATATGCTAATTTGTAACTATAATTAAAATATATGTATAAATATTTATTCGTGTTAGTTGCTGACTTTCTTTGTTCTCATCTTGTTCTATCATCATAGTTGGAAATATATTTTCTTTATTGCTTCTTGAATATACATATGTGAATCCCGTTAATATTTCTTGTTAGCTTTCGTCCTTATTGTGCATTAACTGTGTGTGTTTTTGTTTGTGTGTGAGTGTGTCGAGGGTCCTGTGTCCGTCTACCTGTCCGTCCTCGCTCTCTGATCCCGTATTGGTTTCTTTTTGTTTATTATTGCCATCAGTTTTGGTTGCCGATTTCGCTGATTGCTGTCGTCCTCGAGGGCTGAGTAAAAATGCTTCGATATGCCTGGAATTATTGTTGCTATTGCTGCTCCCAATGCATGACCCATCATCGTTTACCAATAATAATCGTCAATCAATCAATCCATCAAATACTCTTCACCTCCGCCGCAGTGTGTGTCTGTGTGTGAGTTCGTCTGCTCGTGTCCCTGGGTGTCTGACTCTAACGATCTCAATGTCCCGATGCTCCCGATCTAGGTTCTGGTCTTCACCAGGACCTCCCTCTTGGCTTACTGTCGCGGATTTCGGGTCTTTAGAGGCTCGACGACGGTGAAGCTCCGTTCCATTCCACTTTCATTTTTATTTTTTGTTTTTTGAATTTTATTCAATTTTAAAGTACAATTGCACGAGTGCCTGCGTCGCACTCGTCACTAATAATATTATCATTTTTTTTTTGCTTTTTCTGTTGGTTTGTTATGGAAATTGATTTGATTTGTTACTAATTATTCATATATAGAGTTGTATATATATGCGTATGTATATATGTAAATATTCCAAATTATGTTAATATTAAAATTCTAATTTTTATTAATTGAACTTTTGCGCTTAAATTTAGCAAATCTTCTCATCAATTTCTGTCAAACGTTTAGGTCAAACTAAAAATGACAAAATAAGACAAATTATAGAAATTATATGCAGTTTTCTGATTTTATTGCGGAGCCAAAACTTAATGATAAATTATACAGAACCTAGGTCTAACATATAAATAACAGAACAACTAAATAATAGAACCTATCATTTCTTAAACATTACTTTCGTCTCAGCTTTTTGGGGTCGTTTGTTTTGAGCTTGGGTATCATCGAAGAGACTCAAAGTTCATTTCTCCTTTCGTTCAATTTATCATTTCAAGTATCTTTGATTGGTAAAAAGTGGAAGAAATGCGATTCAAGAAGAAAAACTAAAGTGTCTTCCCTCTGTACTCCCAGAGGTGTTATTTATTATTATTAGTTAATTTCGTATTTCTGCCTTGTCGAATATATTTTACAAACATTTCGTGTCTGAGCGGGGAGGAGAGCGTGCTTTTATACAAGATTATAAACGAACACATTCACGTAGTAGTAGAACAATCATTGTGAGGGGGTTGCTCTCCTCCCCCGGGGATATATACTTGGTTATATTGATCTGAAGAATTCTGGCTAATAAGTAAGGCTTGAGTAGGTCGGTTTAAGGCCCAAAATGCTGTCGATTAAGCCAAGCGCGAATAGAGGAGGATATATTGCACACACATAAACAAACTAAAAGGTCTCGAAATCGGGCTCTGTACTTTCGTTAATCTTTATATACGCACAACATTTACATAGAAAGTGTAATTATATTTGTATAATTTTGTTTATGTATATATTTGTTTATTAAGGTATATAGGGCAATCTAAGGTTGAAAAATCATTTTACATGTTCATTAGTTACGTGGAAAAACACAGTTTTATCTCGTGTATACAGGAAAGATTTTTTTCTGGCTTTTCTCGTTTTTCTATACTTTAAATTTTAATTTAATTCGAAAAATCTACTTAGTGAAATCTGTTATGCTGGTTAACAATTTTTGTTTTCTTTTCAATTTGCTTTAGTTTTTATTTTTTATCGATTGATTTATATATTTAACATCACATTATAATAATTACTAATTAATAGATTTCCCTCTAATCATCGTCTCCTTGTTTTTTAATTTTATAATCATAGCATTTGTGGGAGATGCACAATTATGAAATTTTTTAATAAATATTATTTTTGTTTCTTTCTCGCATCCTTAAGGACGTTTGGGGGCTTACTGCAGACCACAATAATAATTATAATGACTATTTACACGAAGAATTTAAAGAATATAAACCGTACAGATCATGCCAGCTCTGATTTAGCTCTTTGCTTTGTTTTGTAGTGTCCTGTCGTGTGTCGTGGCCCTGAACGGTGTTTCTACTCCTTCGGCTCTAAATGGAAATTGTAAATGGTAACATGGCAACACGTGCTAGCTCTCAGCGTTGGGGGCTGAGCTGGAGAAAGGGTTTCGGGAGGCGGGGAAATTAAATTAAGACCATCTGGGGTGGCGGCGGCTGTTGCTCCTCCATTCTTCTGCTTCTGCTGCTCCTGCCTTGTCCTGGCCTTGCTTATGCTGCCGCTTCATTTTCAGCAAATAAACTTGATGGAATTTAATTTGTGTGAACGCCGAAAATGCTCTGCCACTCGTGGGTTCCATTAATTTTGGCCAGGCGGGCCCTTAGACCAGACCAGACCTAACCAGACCAGGCCCGTCTTAATTAGAGCCACCTCTTGGTGTTGCTTGTGAGGCGGGGCCTCCTCCATCCTGGCAGCTACGTGACTCCGGGCCTCCTCCGCTCATTTGTATGCATTGTGCGGCTGCGTTCGGGCTTTATCTAGAGCGAGAAATATAGAAAAGTGTTAAATGATTATCAACTGGTCTCTGCTAGCGGCAAATTGTTATACTCTCTCTACGGATTTCCCTGGCGACTCCGGCCCTGCCCTCGCCACTAAAGGTTGCAGGCACGTCCGGCCAGTGGCAATGCGACAAACGAGGAGCGGAAACACAATTACCAATGCATGCGTCAAAGACGATCGGGGAGAGCAGGGAGAGAAACCTATTCAGGCGGTTTCATTTTATCCTTTTTGAATTAAATATTCCAATGCCTATTAATTTTTCAAGGACGAGGTCCAGTCTAAACATTTTTTCGCCATGTAGTTACTAGCAACAGGAAGTGAAGCGCCTGGCTGCCACTCTGCCGGCCACGCCCCACAGAATCCTAGCCTTGGCCAACGTCAGCACATACCCGCCCCCGCTGCCCGAGCGAGCACCTCCTCGTGCCGTGGCATTGTCTTTAGCCAAAGGTCAAATCGTCGAACCGACTGACCATAGAACGGCTTTGGCCCCCAAGGCTCTTTGCATGCGTGTGCGCCACTCAAGTGGCTCATTATGAGCAGCTGCTCACACACACATCCACCCAGACACAGGCACAGACATTGGCAAACCCAGCAAACACCACAAAAAGCAAAAAACTCACCAGACTCACACATGGACAGCGTTCGTCGCCTACTTGAAATGTGGCGCGTGTTAGAATTTCATTAGAGCGATGGCAGGCAACAAAAAACATTTTCTATTTATTTAATTTGGCTTTAGGCAAGCGAGACGAGACCATCAGAGAAACAGAAGCCACGAGTCCTCGTCGTCTGGCTGATGACATCAGCTAGAATCGCGATATCCTGCCTCCCAAGGACCCATTGACATCGAGTCCGCCCCTCGACCCACGCCCCATGCCCCACGCCCACACCACCCGCCGATTGGCCGCGTAATTTGCGTCACTGCATTGGCAGCCACACTCATTGTTGCCATTTTTTTGGCTTGACCCGACCCAGACGATGAATGCTTTAAAATAGAAGCCTGAGTTTAATGATGCACCCAGATGTCAGGCAGATGTAGACAGTTACAGGTTAGTGCCACAAGCCAGGCAGAAGATACAAGAAGCACTCCGCATGTCCTTGACACGAAACTGGGTTAAGTATTCAATTATTTTGTTCCCGAGACTCAGAGAGACTCATAAATGCTCGCCGAGCTCAGCATGTGGTTAACGAATAACCACATTTCCGTTTCCCTCGAACTGCGGCCGGAGCGGTTTTTGCATTCAAGTTTAATTCGCAAGAGCAGTGATTCAGGTTAGGAATGGCTTTCATGGGGAATACCAACATTAAAATTCAATTAGGAATAATTATGGCAGAATACTCGCCACTTGTGTCTCTCTGGGTGGGTGGATGTGGGTATCTTGTTCATTGGAAGTTCATAAATCCTGCGAAAACAGGATAATTTGTGCTCTGGCTGCAGCGCCCATTATCTGGCGGACTGCCCACGTTCGAGGAGTACTCTCGTCTATGTGTGGGAGGAAATGATATACATAAATCGCACAGAATCAATTCGAAATGTCAAAAGGCAAAACGGCTGATGCTGATGCTGATGTTGCTATTGGTTTTGCTGATGCTGACGCTGATGCTGTTGCTTTTGCTGTCGAGGATGTGGCTGGGCTGTTGTTGCCTTCCATTTGGAGACTAGGCTTGAAATAGCAACAGCCAGAAGAGCAAATTGAATTGAGCAAAAGGTGGGTGGGCGCAGTACACAGAAACAAATACCTTTCGAGTTGAGTTCACTCTTTTAAAATTCAAAGAACTCCACTCTATGATAAATAAAATAAAATATATTTAATTATAAACTTCAAAGTATAAAAGCAAAGTATTAAATATATTCTTCCCGGTGTTTCCAAGAGGACCTCCCCTCGAGGCCCGGCACTTAAAATCCGAGTGACGTGCCGAGCCTGGCTGGGCCATAGAAGCCAACCCAGCGACAAGTCGAGCCAGAGAGACAATCCGAACGGACGAAACTGAGATGGAGCGTACGAGGATAACCCCGATTGCCATCGCCAATCTCCAATGCCGCCGCCGACGCAGCTGACTTTGACATGACAGTTTAATTGAGGGACAGCCCGGGTGCCCACCCTCAACCCGAAACCCCACTGAAAAGACAAAGAGGGGACAGGGCGCTCGAAAAATATGCAAATTAGTTCGACTCCCAGGGAGACGACGTCCCGAAAATGGAGATTGGAGCAGAGCGGAGTTGGAACGAGCCGAACTGTTTGCCTTTCGCTTCAGATCCTTTGGGGAGGAACCCGAAAAGGGAGGAGTCCTTGACTAAATTTAAAATTTATGACGCCAGTCGGGTAGTAACGAATGAACAGCAGGGATGTTTGATTTTGAAACTATCTTCATTTTCTAGGGATTTTATAAAACAATATTGAGGCTCTTTAGTCTTTAAAACACAAGTTGCCCCATCACTTAGAAGGGTGTACCTATCATAGTACCAATACCAAGCCCTGCCCTAACCGAAAACAGTATTCAATTAAATGGGACACTGGGAAGGAGTAAAGGCCTCACTGAAATGGAAAATCTTAGCCCTCATCCCATAGCCGCTTCCCCTAAATTTAACTTAAATTTGTTTACGGAATTGTAAACAAAAGGAGTCCGAAAAGCTGGCCAAGAAGGGCAGGCCATTGTGTCACGGCGACGGGAAGTTAATCGGTCAACTTGAGGCCGCCAACGAGGACAAAGAGCACCACAAAGGGCTGAGCTGGTGATAATGTGGGGAGTTTTGACGGTCATCCATCAGCGCAACGAGACAGACAGGGACTACAAAGATGCGGGAGAAGGAAGGGTGGCAGTGCCACAGCATTAGTACTAACCGCAGGAGCAAATTGCCAGAGCCGGTGTAGGACCTCTGTTCAGCGCCCACCTACGATTCCTGCGCGTGTTGGGGATTTGTGGTGCGTCCGTCTGAGCCCCCGACACACACCATCAGGTGGGTGGACAGGGCCGGGTCCTGATGCATGTGGCGGCATTGGGATTCCATCACAATTTATTCGGCTCGCTTACGCAAAGCGGGCGTTCTAGCACTGACCACCATCAGCACGGGCCCCCCCACAGGACTCAATTGTGTGGGCTGCTGACGGGGGCGGATGCAAGGCTAATGCAGCATGTAACTCAATCAGGGGCGTGGTAGCCACACCCCTGCGCCCACCCAGCCTGGGCAGCAGAGTGCCAGAGTGTGTGTGTGGCTGCTGGCATCAAATTGAACCATCAAGGACTCTGCGTTGAATGGCAAATTGTGCTCGCCAGTCGACAAAGAGTGAAAGGTGATGGAAAAAGTACACGGCCTGAGCCATTTAATCTTTAAATTACACATTTTTGAGAATATAAACCTTTAGATAAATAGAATTTTTTAATTATTGAAATGTAAACTCTTTAAAAAAGTATTTTTTATTGAAGGTAATCCTTGAATGCAGTTTATCCTGCATGCCCCATCTCTCCCAAACAGGGACTCACGTATGCAAATCGTATTCGTCAGAGATGTTCATTGTCCTCATCGGCATTGGCATTGGCATCGTCATCGCCATCATCATCATGCTCTGGTGTGTGCGGATGGATTTCCATACATTTCTGTGCCTGCCATGCAACGACAATCACATAATGGCCATAAGTGATGAGTTACAACCAGCCCAAGCCGAAGCCCAAGCCCAAGCCGAAGCCAATCTCCACTGCCCCCGCTTCCGGCCTTCCTGTCCTGCACGTGTACGTGTTGTTTCATCCTCGATTTTCTCGTTCTCCATTACCGTTAAAATGTATTGCCTGCTTATAGGCGCGTGCGGTTAAGTGACAGGGAGGAGAGGCTGGTGGCTGGATGGAGCTGGGCTGCCGGGAGAAGGCAGTAGAAACAACTGGCGAGAGTCGGACTTCAGGGTGGATTCTCGGCTTTATAAATACGTTCGATTTGGCGAGCTTGAAAACTGTAATACAGAGCTTTCATATGAGAAATAAGCAGACTTGCTTATAGAAACTGTTTACAGTGCGTATACGCAATTTTGATAGTATTTTAGTATCAGAATCAGTTTTGATTGCCTGGAAATGCCATACTTTTGGATTAACTTCTCGGATTACCACTGTGGTCGAGTGGTGCTCCAGTACTTGGCCAACTTCGTGTTGTTTGTTGCCCAAGTGAGCAGCAGCAGAGAGTCCGATAAGACAGCCGGAGCTGCGACATCGGGTATAAAAACTATCAGACAACAATGGTTCCTGTCAGTGGCACACACACGCCTCACACACCCTGAAGGACGCACCATCCTCACCTTGCCCGCCCCTCCGCCCACGTCTGTGTAAACCAATTTTAACGGTTTAACTTACAGCTTATGCCAGGGTCCTGTGTTGCGTATTTATGGCAGTGTGCGGGGACATGTGCTTGTGTGCTGGCATTAGGCGAGCGCTGGCCATGTTTGTTTACAATGCTTTTATGTTTGCACAAATGACGTCGCCCCACACCAGCTCGGACACAGGGTCTGGTCTGGACCCGAGACCGGAGCCCGGAGTAAACCGAGAACTGTTGCCAAGTCAAGCGTTTCCTCAGCACCACAGCTTTCCTAAATTTATGCATGAAAGGGAGCGGCAAAGTAAAAAAAACGAGAGGAGCCTGGGAAGCTGTATTCCAGTGTGTGTTTGTGACTTATTGTTATGCTGCCACTGTGCCCAATTTATGACTCGAGGTCGGAGAGACAAGCGACACTCTCAAAGCCAGCCGTACTCCGTCCAGGACCCATTCCCTCCCCACAGACGCCCCTTAAAAATAGACAACCCGTGTGGGGTTGGAATTCCCTTCATGTCCTTCCTATTTTCATTGCTCGGGATAGGACAAATTCTATGCTAAATGGAATTCACACCGAGGAAAATTGTCGTTGAAACTTGTCATTGTACTTTTATTCAAATATTTCTAGACCTCTTAAAATTAAGAGTTTATTTTAATAAAAAACACCTATGTTACTCATTAATTTTA